CTGCTAGAAGTAATTTTCAGTAATAGAAGCATCATGCCAGCAGGCCAGATTCGAAGGGAGGCCAGAAAAATCCACAGCCTGTCGACCTGTGCGGACTCACAGCTCCCTGCTCTCTGCCAGCACATCAGTAAACAGAGCAGCTCACCTAAATCACTCTACCTCGTACTAACAGCCTAGGCTAAACGAACGCTGAAGGGAAGTGAGCAGGCATGCCCCCATGACGCTGGCAGCTATGGCATCTCCCACATGTTGCTTTAAGGACTCCAATGGGGCTTCCCCCGACCCCTAAAGGCTCCTTCACAGTGCCAGTGCAGGAGCTTTCCTCTTTTGCTGAGAAAAACCCATCTGGCACGTCTTCAAGGGGCAGAGGGGAGCAGTTCATGCTGCCCCTTTGCAATAAATATGAGCCAGAAGGGCCACAGCAGGCTGCCCAGCTCTGTGGGCAAGGGGCTACACAGAGACAGCCATCAGGCCTTGCATCCATCTCCTCAGCTCTTCCCTAATCCCCTGGCCATTGGGCTGAGAATAATTTAGCTGTGGAGTGTCTAGACAAGGAGCGGATGTTAAAACAGGGATAAAGCCACAGGGGCAAAGCTGGTACAGGGATAGGGGAGAAGGAACTGGCTGACAGACACATGGGAAGAGCTTGAAAAGGAGAAGGATTAGAGGCCTGGGAAGATTTTCCTGGGAAGAGACATACTGATGAGCCTGTCCACGGAGAAGACGAGCAGGAGGGGTGCTGCTGCGTACACCAAAGCATTCGGATGCTGCTGTGACAGTCACGGCGTCAAAGCCGTATTAAATGGGAGTGGGCTGCACAGCCCCTACTTCTCTCTTGCCACGTAGGACAGACGCCAGAACAAAAAGGCAACGTATGAGACAGTAAACACACAAAGTTTTCAGGTGTGAAGGGTTTAACCTGTGGATCTCTCTGCCACATGGCTATGCTTGAAACTAAGAATACATAAGTATTTTATAAAGCTTAAATATTTCAACGAATCCTATACCCTACTGAATTAGCCCAGATAAACCACCATAGCCATTCACTCCTGAAGCACCTGCTCCGCTCGCTGACTCTCCCTTCACAGAGGGACGGGACAGAGCTCGTGCGACCGACAGGACACAGACAAACAGACGGGAACAAAACCCACTCTGGCACAGAGTACCAGCACCAGACAGTGACAAGGAGACCCCCTCCACTGGACGTACTGACGTCTCCGACAGACACACGTACAGCCGGGGGAATGAAGGGATGTAGGCACGCACTGGGGATGCACGGCACCAGGTACCGTGCCGTGGGACCACACCACGCCGTGCAGCATTCAGCACCGGGCACCGTGCCATGCCCGGGACTGTGCTGCTTGCCATGCACCATGCCCCATGCCCCATGCTATGCAGCGCCCTGCAGCATGCAGCATGCCATGCCGTGCACCATGCAGCACCCTGCACAGTACCAC